AGATAGCTGCTACCTTGAGCAGAATTCGGACTGAGTAACTCACGAACAAAGGTCAGACGAACCACAGCTTAAAGTTTCCTTCGCGATGTAATTCATTGGGAAATATCTGAGCTGCTACACCTTCCATGGACCACAAAAAATTCTGTGAGAGACATATACGAAGAGAGGATATTACTAAAGTAGATTTTACAGAAGTGGGGTGTAAGACTGTGGATTGCATTCAGCTGTCCCAGTGGTAGACTTTCTGAAGAGGGCACCTGAACTTTATGTTCCATAGAAGATGAGGACATTCTTTCTCAGGTGAGAGACTATCAGCTTCTAGGGCTAATCAATATACTCGTACACTACACTTGTGGTTTGGATTCAGGTGTTCCGGACGTGTGTTATAATCTGGTGTTCAGATAAAAATTCCGGAACGCCAGGTTCTCCCTACTTTTAAATATTAATTAATGTAAAACTCTCTCTGAGATCTGTATATATCTGAAGTAACTCTATCTTCTCGCAGTCTCATTGCAATTAAAAGCTCAATATGGGAGCAAGTACACTGTTATATCTCGTCACAGTTTTAGTTAAAACCAGCAATTTCAAATTTCGTGATAAACTCATAAAAACTTCCGTCAAATTCAAATGTAGTTAATACTTGCACACTGATATTACTCTGAAAGTTAAGTTATACTGTCACCCTCGTATTGGAATGTCAGAATCAATGTAGGATATTCATATTAAATACCTTTATAATACTCTGTGCTTCACTCCATGAATAACTACAGAAGGCAGGTGGGTTTAAAGCTCTGCAAGTTAACCCTGGAACTAGACGGAGCATAGTGGTTACAATTTCAATCTCAAACTCCCTATAAAACTGTGTCCTTCAAAATGAGGCTGGACAACAGTATAGATCCTGTTCTGGATGCTAAATTATAGAATCCTAATGCATCTGTAGCGGATAGAATCCCGGTTGTTAGTCCGTAGTCCGAAGGACTGGCAAGACAAACATATATTTACGAAACGCCTAAAAATGAAGCGAATTAGAGCGCTTCTCGGGCCATCCAGACTGTAGTGTGTAATTTCATTAGCTGAGCAATATTCTTATCATGCGAACCGCCCTATGTAGGCCTACTA